GCGGGCACGACCGCAGGCGAGCGCGGGCGCGGCCAGGCTGCCCCCGGTCGTGGCCAGAGGCTGGGGACGCACAACCACGGGCGTGGTGACCGGAGCTGGGGTGCGGCGGTGACGACAGCCTAAGGCGCCGGACCCAAAGCGAAAAAGGGGGGAAACGGAGGAGGATGAAGTTACTTCTCACATCGGTGTCGAGGAGCGACTCGAGGTCGAGGATGACGACGATCTTTGGCAGCACGCGGTGGCCGTGGCGCAGGGGATCGATGCGTACGTCGTTGTGGTGGCCTTCCGGCTCCGATGCATCATCGAGGAAAACAAAGGCGAGCTTGGCGGAGCTTTTGGATACGCCGACGAGGCGAGGTGAGGTCGGTGGCTATGCAAACGATGGTTATGCGTCCAAGGAGGCGTTCAGGCGAGCTCTATACCGGCAGAGAGGCGCGAGGGAGAGGGGATGAGAGGGTTAGGGTTCATCCGGGGGGGTTGAGGCCTCAAGTTGGGCGCTGAGGGGCTGGATGATCGACACGTAGGCAAGGCAAGGCCATGGCGCCGATGGATGCTTTCCATGGCCTCTCTGTCTCCCTATAGCGAGGAGGTGGGGAAAATATTGCTGGGCTAGGCCAGCTCATGTAGTAGCGGGCCTTAAGTGCCTAGTAGTTTCAACTTTTTTCACATTGTTTTGCAATTAAGATAAATAGCAATTGATTTTTTTTTGACAATGAAATTTGGCACATAATTATTAGTCACAATTTTAGAGGCCCAAAAAGTTAGAGGTCAAATGAAATTGTGTAAATATTGGTTTATTTTGAAAATGGTATTTTACTTGCTGTTGGACCACTTATTAAATTCCTAAGGATTTATCTGTGGGACAAATGAAGTTGGTTCCACCATGACAATGATCAAGGGAATTTATAGAATAGTGTGAACATTTTAGTTTACTGTTTGAAGAAACATTATTTTGACTTGCAATTTAAATTTGAATTTGACTTGAGTTTTAATTAAGTAAAATTTTAGCTTAGCAAGCATGGTGACATGACATCATTAGGGTGAGGTTACTCTAGCAGATCACCGGGGGTGTTACACAGCCGCAGCGTGTAGGTTGTGCGACGACGGGAAAACCTCAGGACGGCGGCAGGGACCGCGTGCCATGCTCGCTACGGCCTGATGGGGGCAATGCGGCGGCAGCGCAATGGGTAGTGCAACCATGGGGATGACTTGGAGTGGACGACCTTAGGGCGGCGGTGGACCACGGGCCACGGCACTACGACCCGAAGAGGCGACATAGTAGCTGCGCGTGGGTCGGTGCAGCTCTGGAGAGAACCACGGGGTGGCGGCAATGACCGCGTGCCACACTCTCTACGACCCGATGGAGCGACGCAGCAGCAGCGTGAGGGTCGGTGCAGCCACGATGACGGCCTAGAGCGGACGGCCTCAGCGCGGCGGTGGACTGCAGGCTGCAACACTACGGCCCGAAGGGGCGACGCATCGGCAACGCGTGGTCATTGTAGCCGCAGGAAGAACCATGAGACGACGATGATGTGGTCCGAAAGGATGGTGCAACTGCACTAACAACTCGATTGGTGGAAGAGCGGTCATACTCGGTAATGATCTTTACAGGACCCACGTAGAAAGCGGATCGCGAGCGGTCAGGCGATAAGACGATCACATCATGATAATAGAACCGAGAAAATACGGGTGGACGGCGAGACAACTGTGGCGTACGTCCGCAGCCGAATGTGCCAGGAGCTTTTTTTAACATTGGTACAGACACAAGCGCATATACACGCACATACACTCACCCATATGAACACACACACCCTACTCCTATGAGCACCTCCGAAAGACTGAATCGACATATCATCTTGAAATTTACGAAGTCATCGTAGGCACCTCGTCGGCACCTCGTCGACGGGAACGTCTCCTCTCACTGAATGCGCATCACCGAAAATCCTGAAATAAATTCAGAAATAAATGCGAGCACCAAGATTTGAACCCTGTTGGGCTGAGGATACCACGTCCCTCTAACCATCCAACCACAGGTTGGTTCGCGAATGTGTCAGGAGCTTACAACTAAAGGCACGCACATGCATGCAAGTATGGACGAGCCTGCGTTTTTTAACATTAGTACACACGCAAGCGCTCATACATACGCGCATACACTCACACGTATGAACGCACACATGCACACCCTACCCCTATGAGCACCTTCGAGAGACTGAGTCGGCATGTCATCTTAAAATTTACGAAGTCACCGTAGGCGCCTCGTTGTCGACGAGAACGTCTCTTTTCAATAAAAGCGCATCGTCGAAAATTCAAAAATATTGCGAGTACCAGGACTTAAACCTTGATAGCCTGGGTACGAGCCTGTGTTGCTGCACGGGACCACTGCCAACACCTAGCGTAGCGGCACAGGTAACTAATCTCACGGGGCGGGCGACGCAGCGCTAGACGAAGTCCGGATAGGACCGCACGAATGGCTGGCCACACGGTTAGAACCAGCAAGCCAGCGTAGGAGTACGCAAACAGCCAGTAGCAATGAGAATGCCGTGGAGTCGCCGCCCGTTACAGAGCAGAGGCGCGATGTAAATGACGAGTGGGTGGCAGGCGATGCAAATCGATCTTAGATCGAAAAATAAAATGAATAAGTGGATTAAACAACTGGTGAGATGAAAAAAGCCTGGATTAAAGGGTCAGGAGAAAGACTTTCTAGGACAGCCGATCAACCGAATCGGCATACGAACCCTAGGCACGGACGGCGTGGCCCTCCTATGGCGATCATGAAGATCCATCGTCCCGGGGCAGCGCGGAGACAGCGGTTAGAGTTTGGATTGGTTAGACTGATACCATGTTAGAGAAAATAGACAGGGATTGGTGAAATTGATGTTTATTGTCCGAGTCTCATGATATATATAGGTAAAACTGTATTTATCATAGCTTGCCACAAAACTTGTTTAGACTCGCCAAATTTTTAACGGGTTAAAAGTTTTTAAAAAATATGAAATAAATATGTGATAGTCTCTTTAATGTAATAAGATGATCCAACAAGGGATTGTGAAAATATACATTTATGTGTTCTCGGCAAAAATAACAAGCATTTCAGCTCAGTACGACATAAATATATACTAAACTATTTTTTTCCATGACACATACAGTCGTATTTTTTTAATCCCTTCGTTGAATCATGTTATATTATAGGTGTGTTGTTTCAGTATTTTTTTCATGATTTTTAAGAACTTATCCACCGTTAAAACTTTTAACTAGTTCTGTGTCAAGCTATTATAGAAAATCCAAGGCAGGATCAACTTGGTACAAAACAAGGCAAGACCAAATAGGTCCCAGTCTATCCTATACTTCCTAATAATCATAATACTCAACATTGGTATTATCAAGACTTGTGTTTTACTACTGATTTTTTTCTTCAATTTCAACAAACCGTAGATCAGTGAAAATACAATATGTCCATCAGCATTTGCTCCAAGGATTTGGTAACTACTATAGAGCACTCATGAAAATGATTTACTCAACAAAACCCAATGGTGAGACAAAATTCACTAAATCATGCCAAAATGGCATTCTGTCACTCTCACTTGCCTGTAGTACTAGCTTTCACAGAGTTCATAGATGGAAACTATATACAAGGGTTGGACTAACAACTCCCCCCAAAACATTAATATAGCCCATATGTTGCAACGTACTCCCTCCGTCCTAAAATAAGTGTCTCAAGTTTAGTATAAATTTTTATTGTACTAAGCTTGAGACACTTATTTTAAGACAGAAGGAGTACATTATTCAGATTGTACATGAACATCTGCCCAACTGAAGACCAACAAAATGTTCACGCCTTATGTATCATCTGCACTCACTCCTAATTAGTGTCCTTCCTTCTGTCCAAGATGCAAAATAGTATACTGCAAAGTCAAGACTTAACTCTGATTTGCCTTTGCAAAACGGCCCTTGATTCTCAACCTGCTGTCCGCACGAGCTTTGCGGGACTCATATCGCACCTGTTTGTCAAATCTGCAAAATGATACGGTTATGCACGTGATATCAACATTGAATGCACCCAATCCGACACTTAGGAAGAAATTTCACATGCAAAACATATGCTAAGCTCACCTCCTTGTCCTCCTCTTTTCTTTATAGCGGGAAATGACAATGTCGCGGTCAAGGCCAGCAACAACATCAAAGCCACTTCTTTTGGGGAAAGCTTGCATTGGCATGCCAATACCAGGATTTGCCTGCTGGCTATCGTCCATCATGCCACCATTGCTCATGCTGGGGCAAAGTTCTGACATCTGAACAAACAATGACAAGCATGCTTCAGCTGAGTTTGCTGGAGCCTGCTCCTGTTCATACTCGGTCTTGCAGTCATCTTTTAGGGCATGACAATCGTTGTTGTTCCATCCGCCGTTCTGCCAGACAGATGAACGGACATGTTAACCGACCACTCTATAATATGGTAATGGATCATCAAGTAAGCTAGGACTATGTGTGAAAGAAAATAAAAACCACTGGAGATTTTATATTGGTTTTCCCTTCGTCCGGGTTTATTAGGCCTAAAGACACTTTCTCTTATACCAAGACACATAGTAATTTGCTCATATTAATTCTTTCATTTCACTCTCAATGCACTCTCTCACGTGCATGCAGCCAATGAAAAAGCACGCTTGAAGTGTATTAATTTTCCAGCCATGGCACTAACAACAATGACTTTCAATGTAATCAATAAAATGGTTGCATGCATGCACCTTTTCAAAACGGGGCCTTATAAAAGGGGACATGCTTGTAATACAGAGAGGCCTAATAAACCCGGACGGAGGGAGTATCTTTTAGAACCCTTAGCTGTTATACCAGAGAATTAGACACAACACTGAAGAATATATGCATCATCAACATAGCTATGACTTAATAGAAAAGCTTGCTGATAATATCTTCGCCACATATGGTGCAGAATATCTCTACTCTTCTAATCTCTGCCGTTTGAGTAGATATGTCGCAAGTTGTCTAAATACAAGTTCAGTCAACACTCAACACCTGAGCCAAAATTCTTCTTGGTTGATGAGTAATTGCAGTGGGAGAAAAAAATGATCATCGTTAGATTCACAGTAGTACATCCGTCCAGCATGGGGAAATTAGTCAGATAGACTGCAGTACCTCATAACCAGGGGTTGGCATGGTTGCAACCTCATGGCTGTTATCTGTGCCGAAATCGCCATTTCCAGTGGTGTGCTGTGACTCTGTCCAGGAAGGCAACTGATGAGCAGCTTGCTCTGCCTCCTCACGAGGTGTTATCTGACCGCCGCCCATGTCCACCTCCGCGAGCTCACGTAACTGCCGTATGACCTCATCGTTCGTCTTTCCTTCGGGTGAGTTCTGGATCTTTTGCAGATGAGTTAGAGCTAGGTGTGAGAATTCAGAGCAAGAGCAGAAAACTGGGGAATTTTGGCAGAGAGCGAGCAGGTACCTTGGGCGAGGACGGCGTGACGAGGGGCTGGAAGCTATGGCAAGAAGTGGTGGGCACGATGAGATCCTCCAGGCTGAACACCTGGGGCTCCTCCCAGATGGCCCACCAACCGTCGTCGGCTTTGCCGGCCGAGGGCTTGTCCAAGTCGGGGACCCCGAGAAGAGCAGCGAGGTCGTGCGCCGAGGGTCGTCCCGTGTACCCCTGGACTGTACAGCGGTCGTGCAGCGGCAGCTCGCCGTCCCTGCTCCTCCCGAAGTCGCAGTTGGAGCAGAGGAATTCGGGGCCGCCGTGGCGGAAGACGGCCCCGGTGGCGCGGCATGCGGCGCAGAGCGGAGCGCGCAGGTGGCGGGAGCAGACCGCGTTGGCGGCGTGCACGTGGCGGTCGCACGGCAGGCAGAGCCTGGCGCTGTCGGCCCGGCAGTACACCACCGACTGTGGGCCGCTGCAGTAGTCGCAGGCTACCGCGTCGGCAGAGAGCTCCTTCTCCATGGCCGGCAGCTCTGGATCCTGGCGCTCGTCTTGACCCATGTCCATGTGATGGACTACCGGTGGAAAAGATGGACTGGTGGAAAAGAGCTTGGTAGGCGCTGCTCCCTACAAGGAGAAGGAGAAGGAGAAGAAGAAGAGAATGAGGAGGTGGAAGAGATAATGCGTGCATATACGGCTTGCTTGCTTGCTTGCGGAAAAAGAAGAAGAAGAAGGTGGGAGAAGAAGCACGAGAGGCGGAGTAAACCGCGAAAGGGATGGTTCGAAAGCGAGGAGGCTGCCTCTGCCTCGTCACTCACTCGCGTAGCTCGGTCCGATATTTCTGTCATGCCTGGATGACTGTGTGCTGTGAGGCCGGCGACGTGACGGGCTCCGCCGTGCGTGAGGCTGGCCGCGGGCCAGGTGTTGGAGCGGCAGTCTCGTCGCGTCGACGAGCCCGGGCACGGACAAAGGCGGCTTCTCCATGGTTCGATCGACTGCGGGAGTGGGGGTGGGAAAGGAAAGGAAAGGGTTGTCTCACGAGATCTTGCAGGTCGAGCCGACAGGAGATGCGGCCGTTGGCGGAAAGGGACCGCTTGGACGGGTCTCGAGCGGAGCATGACGCAACGGCTGAGGTAATGCCAAAGAGTATGGCATCGCTAGCCTAGCCTTGGCCTTGTGAAAGTGACTATCTGTTGTATCTCGCCTGCCCACCTCGCCCCCGCCGTCGGCCACTGCGGCCCTGGCGTCCACGCCTCCCGCCGGCGGCCACTGCGGCCCCGGCGTCCACGCGCCCTTGCAGGCGGCATTGAGGGCCTCGGATCTTCGCCTCTCGTCCTCCTTCCCCCCCTCTCTTCTCTGAGGCCTCGTCCATGGCGTCTGACGGATCGCGAAGCCCTTCCTCGGTCGCGTCGGCCTTCCCGCGCGACAGGCCGGTGGTGTCCGGTCTCGGCCTCTCTGGCTCGCCGGGGTCGGCAGGCTCCTCCCCTGTAGGCGCTGCGGTGGTTGGTCCGGGAGCCCCGGCTGCCCCGGCTCAGGAGGCTGGGTGGCACAAGCCTGGGCCTTCCCGTAAGGCGATGTGGCGTCGCCGGCGTGCGCTGCGGCGCCAGCAGGAGGCTGGCGTGCAGGATGGTCGGGCCTCCCCCATCTCGTCTGAGAGGCGTCAAATCCCGCCGGACCTCTGGGGTCTCTGTTTCAGATGTTTCGAGGATGGTCACCGACAGCAGGATTGCACGAGCGACCCCATGTGCATTCCTTGTGGGCTTTCTGGTCATGTTTCCTCCCAGTGCAAGAGGCCGCGCAGCCCCATCTCGGCAGACGAGCTTCATCGCGTGGTGATTCCCAAGGTCGCCAGGATAGGGTCGCTGCTGGCGTTGCTGCCCGGGGTGGGGGGTTTGCTGATGGAGCCTAGGCAGGACGCACCGCGGGTGCCGCCCTCGCCGGTTGCGCCCAGCTTCCCTCCCATCGTGCCCGCCTACGCGCCCGCTGCCCCGGCGGCGGAGGTATGCATCTTGCCGCGCTCGGAGGGGATGGATGATCTCGAGCGCATGCTGCAGTTGGTCGTGGTTGCATATGTTGGGGGACCAAGGCCGCTGGTCTCCTGTGTGGATGCGGCCATTGCCATCTCGGAGCGGCTCAACATTCCGCGTCATCGTTTCTCGGTTCACAAGTATCACCCGGAGGACTTCCTCATCGTGTTCGCTTCACACGAGCTCCGGAACAGGGCGCTGGCGGTTCTGTCGGTGGAGTTTCAGGGCTTCAAGCTTTTCATCGGGCCATGGCGCATGCCAAGTCTAGATTGATGCGTGTTTAGGTCGACCTGATGATTGAGGGTGTCCCTTCCCATGCTCCGACGAAAATCACCACGCTGATGGTGCTTAGATTCCGGGGATCGCATGGTCTTCGTTGACGGGAGGAGGGACACAGCACCCGCGCCAGGCGGCATGCCTCGCCGTGCCGCATGGTGGCCGAGGTGTGGCCGCCCCATGCTCTGTCGGCGCCAACTCATCATCTTCATTGACAGGAGGCATCTCTGGCGCCCTCATCCATCACCATCGCTCCCTTCCCTATGAGAGGGACGGATCATGTCGGTGTACAAAAGTAGGGGCTCTCATTTTTACCCCTCTATTTGTGCACGGGCAATCAGAGCCGTACCTGTGGCCACACTTAGCAAGGCAAAGGGGGGAAGCATAAGCACAAGAATACCAGAGTAGCGCTCCAGCCAGGGGCGCAGAAGACGGAGCAGCAAAATGGGTTTTTCCCCAGCAAGATCCTTGCCGGGGCGGCCTACGCAGCGCAAGCAAGAGCCTTGCCGGGGCAGCTCACCCAACGCCAACATCGCGACCAACCTTGGGACTAAGAGTACCGACACCATCGACAGCATTGGAACCAAGGCTGGGGAAGCACCTGCATAGTTGTCATGCAAATCTTTGTGGAAACCAGAAGCCCACAAGACTAGACGATGACCAGAAGACAAGACAATCGCAAGCCCCCTTGCCGAGGATGCCCCTGAGGCCCCGACAAGGCTCCTTGCTGAAAATATACACGGGACCACGACAAGACCTTGCTGCCCCATCACCGCCCCAGCTCAGCGGCCAACCCACCAACTGAGGCTAGTACCCACGTGACAGTACGTGGATGCTAATCCAGCTAGTCAAGCACCTGCGTGGTGGCATGCAGATCTTCATGAAGACCCTACCACCACCCCATCTCAGCAGCTTGCCAGCTTACGTGGCGTTGCATGCCTCGTTGGCCTGGATGCGTGTCGGAGCAAGGCGGAGCAACGACGAACGGGCCGGGCCTCGTTGCCGTCCCCAATAAAGCAATGGGACACCTAAGGAGCGCATTTAATGTGCCTCGTCCCGTAATGACAGGCGATAAGCTTGAACACTGTATACCTTTCCACCTTCTATGTGCCACTGTGGCGACCCCTTTTGATTATAAAAGGAGGCTCGAGGCGTACTGGAGAAGGATTCAGATCTTTTGGACTACGCACGCACCGCAGCTAGTTCAACAGCCCAAGAACACTCAAATATACACCAAAGCAGGATTAGGGTATTACGCATCCTTGCGGCCCGAACCTGGGCAAACGATCTTTGTGCTGGCTGCCAGACCCGCTCTTTGCACAACCCCGCGCCCGCCAACCGTAGAAGGGATCGCAGTGGTTCCATAGGTGTCGTTTCCACCGACATCTTTGGCGCGCCAGGTAGGGGGGCGCAGTTGTGGAAATCTGGTCTGGTTGGAGCAGCGGCTTTGTCGTGGTCGTCACTCCAAGGAAGAAGACGACCAAACGGGCGGCATCGTCTGCAGATGCGTTGAACGCCCGCGCAACGACATAAAAGCTAAGTCATGCAAAGTTTTGAGCAATTCCTTTTTATATATAAGGTTATCATCCTCGAAGATCTTGCCCCGTGTATGGAAAACCTGCACGCAATGGGGCCCTTCCACTATTGGCAACGGCCTTGCTCTATTTCGAGTCCGCTCAACAGTTCGAGCGGCTGCTCAAGAACGGGAAGGTGGCCTTCTGCAATTGGCAACGCTCTCGTTCTGTCTCGAGTCCGCTCGACAGTTCGAGCAGCCGCGTTAAGAGCGGTAAGGTGGTTTGCCTGGCAGCAAGCACACCCGGCAGGCTATTGGGGATCCGTCCTCAAGGCGCCGCGGCCTAGGGTTTACACGCCGGCAAGCCTACCCAATTAACGTAGGGTGGACACACAAAGGGAGATCAAATGGGAAAATAACATGAATCGTTTTAAGGTACTGCAGAGTTATATTACATCAATTGTTGATGCGGTTCTAACTAAAGATAAAAATTGTCTTGGTCATGAACCTGCAGCGGCGATGAGAAACGGGGTGTCTAATCCCGGCGCTGGCCCTCTACCCTTCGAACTCTGTTGATGCGGCTGATGACGGGCTCGATATGCTCCTCGAGCGTCACGAGGTCCGCATCCTCCAGCAAGCTCTCCAGCGCGGTGTCGAAGACAAGGTTGGGGTTCCAGTACGCCACCTTGTTGAGGACCTTGGTCATGGCACCCCAGCAAAGATTCCGGGCCTCATTGGCTAGAGAGGCCGCCTGGTTCGAGCGGAACTGCTCCAGAGCTCCAAGAAGGCCCTTGAAAAACAGGGTCAGTTTGGCATTGGGACTCACGTTTGGCTCCGGGGCGTACCTCACGTTCGGCATCCCCATGATAGCCAGCTGCGTGATGATCCTGCCGATGATGTCGGCGAGGCGGCTGATCCAGAGGTTTTCTCCCTTCACAAAATCCTCGTGGCTGGCGGCATCATTCCTCCATAGCTGCCTCTCGGCCTCCAGATCTTTGGTCAGGGTCTCCTCCCAGGACCTGACCTCTGAAAGTGTCCCCTCGAGGCCTTCCAGCTTCAGCTTCAGGTCCCTAATGGAGTCATTGGCCTTGGAGAGCAGCTCGACCTTGCCGAGGACTGTGGCTTGCGCGTCAGCCAAAGCGCCTTTGGCCGCATCCCTCTCCTCCGTCAGCTCCAGGACCTGCTTCTTCAGCCTGTCCCGCTCCACCTCCAGCCCGTTCACCTTACCGGCCCGGACTTTGGCCTGAGCATTGATTGCCTCCTCGTGCCTCTGCTCCAGCTCCCGGGTCCGCTGCACGACAAGCTTCTCGAACTCATCAACCTTGTCGCGGAGTGTCGCGGCGAGCTTCTCCTCACTAGTGGCGAGGTCCTCCTCCTGGGAGTTCAGCACGGCCTGGTGCTGGTGCCGAGCGGCCTCGTCCTTGGCGGCCTATGCTTTCACCGCCTCCTGGGCCTTCTCGACGTCGGCCTGCTTCAGGACAAGCTCCTGCCTGCACTCCGCCAACAGATCCTGGTCGGTCTTCAGTTCCTCATAGGCCTGGCGGAACCATGCCTGCCTCTTGGCGATGCGCTCCTCGAGATCCACCTCCTCGTTGTCCACCGCCACCATCCTGGACTTGGCCTTGTCCAGGCGGGCACGGTGAAGCGCTTGGAGCTTCTGGAAGTTGGCGCTCATGGCCTAGAGGAGCCGCTCTTCCTGGGAACCGCCACCACCGGCGCTCGGTTCGTCAACAACCTCAAGCCCGGCGGCGGCGAGCACCTCATCATCAAACACCTCACCCTCGGTGGGCGCCCTGGTGCTCGCCGTTCCCGGGAGGTGGACGAACAGGTCGTTGCTCACCTTTAGGTACTTGGTTGAGCCAGAGGCGGCGGAGGAGGAAGGTGGGTCGTCAACCGCCCCCTCCTTGGCATTGGCCTTGCCGGCCTCCCCGGCAGGCCCCTTGCTGGCCTCCTCGGCAGCGGCCTTGCCGGTCTCCCCGGCCAGCCCCTTGGCGGCATCCTCAGCAGCACCCTTGGTGGCCTCCTCGGCGAC